CAGAACATGGAAAGGCTGTGACATGCCTACGATGTCCCGTAGGCAATCGAGGGACATCTTGACAGTGGAGTTCAGGAGTTTAACATTTTTTTTTTTCAACGTTTTTTTATTTATTTTTGGGACAGAGAGAGACAGAGCATGAACGGGGGAGGGGCAGAGAGAGAGGGAGACACAGAATCCGAAACAGGCTCCAGGCTCTGAGCCATCAGCCCAGAGCCTGACGCGGGGCTCGAACTCACGGACCGTGAGATCATGACCTGGCTGAAGTCGGACGCTTAACCAACTGCGCCACCCAGGCACCCATAACATTTTTTTTTAACGTTTATTTATTTTTGAGACAGAGAGAGACAGAGCATGAACGGGGGAGGGTCAGAGAGAGAGAGGGAGACACAGAATCTGAAACAGGCTGCAGGTTCTGAGCTGTCGGCACAGAGCCTGACGCAGGGCTCGAACTCGCGGACTGCGAGATCATGACCTGAGCCAAAGTCAGCCGCTTTACTGACTGAGCCACCCAGGCGCCCCCAGGAGTTTAGAAACTGTGTCGTTACAAGAGACTGCATGATAGAGGCAAAATTTGTGATTTCTGGTTCAGACAAAGACTTGGTTTACATTTGCTCTAAACTTAGCGATTTTTCTCAAGTAATACTACTGTAGACGTGACCAAAAGAAAAAGAAGCACTCCCAAGAGAAATGATGGAGATGTTAGCAATGACCCTTATTAGTCTGTGTTATGGACGACCACCGTCTTTATTCAAACTTTTTCCAATTGCTTGTTAAGCTTCCCGTGATAAACGTTATGTAGACGTCCAGGAGCTATGTAAGAAAAAAGTTCTAAGGCCTTCTTCACTTACTGCCACGTAACTTTTAAGAGCTTAACTAAATAATTTTTGTGGGAAGGGCAGAAAATTGCTGGAATTAATGCCGTATACCTTGCTGAAGACAGGCAAAAAAAAAAAAAAAGTAATAATGAAATAAATCATGACGGCCTGAATTTCATTGGCTGGCTTATATATAATCTTCTAGGTTTACCAGAAATGACGCATTTTTAGATCATCACTTCTTCTAAAAAAATGTTTATTCATTTTGGGGAGAGCGCAAGTGGGGAAGGGGCGGGGGGGGGGTGCGGACAGAGGATCCGAAGTGGGCTTTGCACTGAGGGGCTGACAGCCGCGAGCCCGGTGCGGGGCTTGAACTCATGAACCATGAGATCATGACCTGAGCGGAAGTCAGATGTTCAACCGACTGAGCCTCCCAGGCGCCCCCGGATCATCCCTTCGTAGCACCAACCAGCCCCTGCTCTCCATTGTTTATTGTAGCCAAGCGAATCCAGCCCTGGAATGATGTCTCTGGTGCCAGCAGACTACAAACAAAACCAATCGCCCTGTGCCGGCAACATTGTTTCACTGTTACCTCCTTCATCTCCTCTATTCTTTTGCAATTACTTTAATTAGCACTGCTCACTTAACGGGACCTTGGAGGTTGGAGCCAGGTGGTGCCATTAGTTAAATCTGGAAGACTCCAATGGAATTGAATTCAAACCAGGTTAAGAGGAAGAGAATTATAGATCTCGTGGCACACCACTTTGTGTGACCTTTGGCGCCTCGGAAGTTACTGCTGGCTCGAATCGGAAAGAGCTTGGATGAAGGTTCCGAGAGACCACGTGTGCGCCTGTCTGGATGCTGCAGTTCGGCACGGACAGGACAGGCGTGTCCCTGCCTCACGGAGCGCGTAGTCTAGCGATGAAAGACGATATCAAACAAGCAAGCAAGACCGCCAGGCTTTGCGATGAGGGCTCGGAAGGGAGGAAGGGCGAGCTGATGTGGAGGGGTGAAGGGTACGCGAACTTTAGGGGTGCTCGGGAAAGCTCTCCAGGGAGATGCTACTTAACGCTGCTGCCCGAATGATGGGAAGGAGCTGACCTGGGGACAACACGAGGAAGGAAGGCCCTCACTGTCAGAAGGAATCGGGCACAGAAGGGCTCTGGAATGGAGGTTGTTTTGTGTCCCCAAGGAACTGCGAGGGCACCTGCATGACTGGGACCCGTCCAGGAAGGCCGGTGGCCCGAGGGGAGGCCGAAAGCTGCTGGGTCCAGAGGTGTTGCATGGGGCAGACAGACATTTAGACCCTGAGATTATCAGGGATTTTTAAAAGTCTTTGTTTATTTATTTGTTTATAATTTATTTATTTACTTACTACTTTTTTTTTTTAACATCTATTTATTTTTGAGAGACAGAGGGAGACAGAGCACGAGCAGGGGAGGGGCAGAGAGAGAGAGAGAGGGAGACACAATCCGAAGCAGGCTCCAGGCTCTGAGCCGTCAGCACAGAGCCCGACGCAGGGCTCGAACCCACGAACTGCGAGATCATGACCTGAGCCGAAGTCGGACGCTTGACCGACTGAGCCACCCGGGCGCCCTCAAAATTTTTATTTTTGTAACTCAAATCCGAGTTTAGTGCCCTAGTGTTTTCAGGAGTCGAGTTTAGTGATTCATCACTTACATGCAACACCCAGCGCTCATCCCAGCAAGTGCCCTCCTCATCTTCAGCCATTTAGCCCATCCCCCCAGCCAACATCTCTCCAGCAACCCTCAGTTTGTTCACTGGATTTAAGAGTCTCTTATGGTTTTCCTCCCTCTCTGATGTTTGCTTCCTCTCCCCTCTGTTCATCTGTTGTGTTTCCTAGATTCCACATGTGAGTGAAATCATATGCCGTTTGTCTTTCTCTGACTTATTTTGCTTAGTATGATCCGCTCTAGTTCCATTCAGGTCGTTGCAAACGGCGAGATTTCATTCTTTTTGATGGACCTTTGGGCTCTTTCCATGGCTTGGCTGTTGTTGATAGCGTTGCTGTAAGCACTGGTGTGCATGTGCCCCTATGAATCAGCGTATTTGTGTCTTTTGCACACAAAACTAGCCGTGCAATTGCCGGGCCGTAAGGTAGTTCGAGTTTCAATTTTTCTTTTTTTTTTTTTTTTAATTTTTTTTCCACGTTTTTATTTATTTTTGGGACAGAGAGAGACAGAGCATGAACGGGGGAGGGGCAGAGAGAGAGGGAGACACGGAATCGGAAACAGACTCCAGGCTCCGAGCCATCAGCCCAGAGCCTGACGCGGGGCTCGAACTCCCGGACCGCGAGATGGTGACCTGGTTGAAGCCGGACGCTTAACCGACTGAGCCACCCAGGCGCCCCGAGTTTCAATTTTTCGAGGAACCTCCGCACTGTTCTCTAGAGCGGCTGCAGCGGTTGGCATTCCCACCGGCAGTGCAGGAGGGTTCCCGTTTCTCCGTTTCTCCGCGGCGTCCTTGCCGACACCTGTTGTCTCCTGAGTTGTGAACAACCTTTGTGGCAATGTGCTGATGAATGGGATGTGTGCAAAGAGCACCCTTGGGCTCGGGGCGGTAGATGTGCGTGAACCGGCCGGTAGGCGAAGTCATGAGACGCACAATTTTGACCCTTTGTGCAGAGGGCAGGCAAAACAGAGGCAATATTTCGATGGATCACGTTGCCTCCTGTGGTAGCGTCCATTTAACGCTTGCCCACCCCACTTTCGCTAGGGCACAGCGGCGGTGGTCAATGGACCCCGTGTCTCCTCCTCCTCCTCCTTCCTGTCGGTAACAACGGGCCTGCCTCTGACCAGCATCCCTCCCCGCACCGCGTCCTTGGTAAACGGCCGCAGTCTCGCTGAGTACAGGAGATTCGTCTCTATAACGTGGGTGGGCCTCATCCGATCAGTTGAAGGCACCAATCGACAAAAAATGACCTCCTCGGAGCAGTAAGGAATTGGGCCAGCAGATTGCCTTTGAATTCAACTGCAACTCTCTTTGGGTCTCCAGCCTGCCGGCCCACCTGGCAGATTTTGCACTTTCTAGCGTCCACCGTTAGGTGAGCCAATTCTTTAAAACAAATCTCTCTGTCTCTCTCTTTTTCTGCTTCTGTGTCTGTCTGCCTGCCTCTCTAAACACCCTGTTGGTTCTGTTTCTCTGTAGAACTCTGATTAATAACACACTGCAGGGGTGCCTGGGTGGCTCAGTCAGTGAAGCATCTGACTTCTTCAGCTCAGGTCATGGTCTTGAGGTTTCTAAGTTTGAGCCCTGCATCAGGCTCTGTGCTGACAGCTCCGAGTCTGGAGACTGTTTTGGATTCGTGCCTCTTTCCCTCTTCCCCTCTCTGCTCCAGTCTCTCTCTCTCTCAAAAATTAGCCTTCAAAAATTTTTAAAAGTAGCTCGCTTTATATTTTACTATTTATGCCCATTTCACAGACGAGGAAGTTGAGGTTCAGAGGCATCGAGTGCTGTGCACAAGGGTAGACGCTTGATGCGTGTGGAGCCGAGATTCCGGGCTAGGTCTTCCTGAGCCACAGCACAACGCAGCTTCTCATGCACGAACATGCACCGTTTACTATAAAGTATCTCTCGCTTTTAAGACTCACCAGCGACGTTGGGCTCTTACGCCACGTGAAAATCATCAGCACGCGCACACCTTTTGGTCTAGGTGATGTGCACAAAGGTCCGTTAGCAGAGAAGCCCGGTCACCAGGAAGCTTCCTGCTGCACGTGTACTTGCCTGACACACTTAGCTCCTATACATCAAATTATCTCCTTTGCCACCATCGTTTCCAAACACGTCTTGCGGTAGCCACCCCGTTTCCGTACGCATCAACCGCAAGATCTTTAGGAACGGGAGGGGGAACCAAAGGGACGACCGTTGAAAATGCACGGTTTTGCCGAAAATACGATTACACCCCCTCCTTCTACACATGCAACCGAAAGGAAGAGACAGAAACAGCACATGTGGATGAAATTAAGACCGGGAAAAACAAACAGCACACGCGGGGGCCCCGGACCTCCCGATGTCTTTGGCCGTGGGCTAAAGTCCCCCACTGAGGGCAAAACTTCAAAAGTAGCCTCAACCTGGCCCGTTTCCATAGGAAAAGCCAGCAGCAAATATTGACCCCAGGATCAATGGTTTCTGTCGAAGCCGCAGCAGGCAGGCCAGAGAGGCAGGGGGAGCAGCAGGCAGGCGGAGAGAGCAGGCCAGGTCACACGTGATCAGGAGCCGCTTCGTCCAACATCGAGAAACGATCTCGCTGCCTCTGAATTAAAACTACTCTCCCCCGAACGGAGAAGATGGTGACGAAGATGCCGATTCTTCTGGTTCTTGGAGTGAACTTCCTGTCTTGTGCAGGTAAGCAACTCGGCGCCACGGCCCCCTGCCCTTCATGCTGCAGGTGCCGTCCTGGCCTGGGGCGGGGGCGGGGGGGTTGGGGTTCTTGTCTCACTGTGTCCCCGTGTCCACTCGCGTCCAGGTTTTCCGGTGTATGACTACGACCCGTCCTCCTTGCGGGAAGCCCTCAGCGCGTCCGTGGCCAAAGTCAACGCCCAGTCCTTGAGTCCGTACCTGTTTCGAGCCTTCAGGGGCTCAATTAAAAGGGTAAGTGCGGGGAGGGGTGGGGTGGGGTGGGGGGGGGCGCCTGGGTGGCTCAGTGGATTAAGTGGCCGACTTCGGCTCAGGTCATGATCTTGCAGGTTCGTGGGTTTGAGCCCCGCGCCTGGCTCTGTGCTGACAGCTCAAGCCCGGAGATGCTTCCGAGTCTGTGTCTCCCTCTCTCTCCGCCCCTCCCCCTGCTTGCGCTCTGCGTCTCTCTCTCAAAAATAAATAAGCATCAAAAAAACATTAAAACAAAAAAGGGTAAGTGCACATTCCATCTTCTTGATTCCTTTTTCTACTGTTTTCTGTTCTGTTTTTTTTTTTTTTCCTTTTGTCTGTTGGGTGCCCTTGAAAATTTTTTCCAGTTTAGAAAGATAATAGCTAGTCCTCTTTTCAGACTTTAAAAAAAAAAAAAAATTATTTATTTATTTATTTGTTTATTTTGATGAGAAAGCATTTAATTACCGTTCTTGTCACAAGACCCTCAAAGCCACTTCGGATGCCAGATTCTTCCGTCCCTCCCTCCTCTGGCCTGGCTTCCTCTTTCCAGATGTTGCCCTTTGTGTATCCTGCTTCTGTGTCCACGGTCCGCCCCCCCACCCCTCCTCGGTTCCTCTTGAGCAGTTCTCTATGAGGAACTGCTCCTTTATTAGAAATGAGGTTTATTTTCGATTTCGGAGGTCCCCCTCCTCGCCCTCAGAGGAAATAAATTCTGGCTTGTAAGCCAAAGAAATCCCACCTTCCTTTGTCAATTTGGTAATGGTCTGTTTCCTGTTAGCTTCGGGAAATGGGGAAAACATGAACTTTCCTGGGCTTCCGATGACTCAGTCTGTGATCGGCCAAGAAAGAAACACAGAAAGAGGCTTCAAAGCCCGGACAGCAAGTCCCCTGCCCCTCCCCCATCCCCAGGGGACTTCATGACCTACTTTTATGGTCCTGGGCCCTGGGCCCTGGGCCCGGTTGGAACAGAAGTGCCCCCAGGGTAGTGGGTGCTAAGGTGGGAGGTGGGGGAGGGTCTGTAAAGTGGCAGGTCACAAGACTGAGGAGAGCTCCTCGCAGCCAGGCCACAGGGCACCGGGGTGGGGATGCAACCGGGGGTCCAGGCGGCAGCTATGCCCCCACAGGGGCAGGAGGGCCTTACTTTCCCTCTGCCTGCCGCTCGCCTCTCCCACCAGGACTGGGCATCACCCTGGCTGATGCTTAGCTTGCTCCCTCTCCTGCCCCGGAGAGCACGCAGCTCGTGGCTTTCCTAGCCCTGGTTCCCAAATACAGCACATCCTTCTTGACGTTTGTCCAGAAACTGGCTCAGTTTCTCACGTCCGGATTCCCAGGAAATTAACTGAATTGTCTCAGTTACGTTTTCTAGTTGGGCCCTAGGTCATGAAGATGATGGGCTGTGTGTCAGCTAGGGGCCCAGCCTAGGAGCAGGCTGTCAGGGCCCAGGGGGGGGGGGGGGTCACTTGGCCCCGACGTCGTGGTTCGGGGACACTGGGAGATAGGTCAGCGCCCAGGCTGAAAGGTGAAGTCCTTCTGGAAGAGTAAGGATCAGAATAAAGGACTCCCCTTTTGCACACCGGCTGCCTTGGTTTCCATTTTCTGCATTTAATGAAATGTACTTGTGGTGTCAGGGGCTCGGTGCTTACAGACATAAGCTTTAAATTTACCTGTAACCCGCTGATACCACAGAAGAAGGTTAGTGGTTTGTCACGTGAGCAAGGGCTCGGGGCAGACCCTCTTACATGGGTCCCGACACCATGGAGATCTGGCCTGTGGCCACGGGCTAGGACGAGGCGCCCCAACCCAGGCAATTGACCCTACGTGACTTGAGCCCACGTTTAAAAAAGACGGGAGAGGAGAAGACAGTGACCTCCGACGTGGACATGGGACCTGCTCAGATGCTTCTGTCAGGGACACGGGCCGGGGAGGACAGTGGACACGGGCCTTGTGCTGGCGAAAAGAACGGAGCTCAGGTCTCATTGGGGACGGAGCAGAGGGTAGGAAAGAAGGAGGTTGGGTTGGACAACGACACAAACAAATGAAGGTCATTTCGGAGGGTGGGGAGCACTGCAGAGGGGGGTGGGGCAGAAACAGACCAGGCAGAGGGAGGGGTGGGCGGGCTGGGGCAGCAACAGATGGGGTGGAAGCCTCCGCCGTCATATGTGAGCGCAGCCTCAGTCAGTGACAAGAACCTCCATCCGTGGGGAGACCGTGGGGGAACCTGGAGGACCGAAGGCCTTGAGAGAGAGGTCGGAGAGGTGGGCCGGATTGGGGACGTTCCCGGAGCATGACTTTGAGAAGCCTGAAGCCTGTTTTAAGGACAGTGGGACATGCACACACGCTCAGGCAGCTCTTTGCCCTTGGGAAGGTCTCTCCAGCCACCAGGTGGAGTGGGGTGCCAGGGAGGAGGCTGGGCCAGCGACCCTAGGCAGCAGGTGGTGCTGGAGGGCAGCTGAGCCTGGGGTGGGTGCGGGGAGGATGGGGGTGGCTGGGTTCTGGGACAGCCGTAAGCAAAGCCACGGAAGGTTTGGGATCCTTTGATGTCGGTGCCCCTGTCTGTCCGTTTTTACCATTCATCTTCTTTTCTTTTCTTTCTTTTTGTTGGTCACTGTTTTGCTTTCTAAATTATTCTTAGTTGTACCTGATCTTTACTTTCTGTCCAATTGTAAGGATTAGTTGGAAAAACCTAAATGATCACCGTGTTAGGCTTCTCCAGAGCAGAATCAATAGTGTGTGTGTGTGTGTGTGTGTGTGTGTAGAGAGAGAGAGAGAGAGAGAAAGAAATGTGGGAGGAGAGAGAGAGAGGGAGAGTGAGTGAGATTTACTTTAAAGAATTGACTTACACTATGTGGATGGAGGTGTGAGAGATCCGAACTCTGCAGGCGGGGGGGGGCCCCCCCTGGCAGGTGGACGTTGTAGTTCACGTTGGAAGGCAGGATGCTGGCAGATTTCCTTCCTGCTCAAGAAAAAGGCAATTTTGTTCCATCCAGGCCTTCAACTGATTGGGTGAGGCCCACCCACATTAAGGAGGGTGATCTGCTTTACTCAAATTCACCAATTTACTTTTCTTTTTTACTTTTTAAATGTTTATTTACATTTGAGAAAGAGAGAGAGAGAGACAGAACGAGAAGGGGAGGGGCAGAGAGAGAGGGAGACACAGAATCCGACGCAGGCTCCGGGCTCTGGGCTGTCCGCACAGAGCCCGATGCGGGGCTTGAACCCACAAACTATGAGATCATGACCTGAGCCGAAGTCGGATGCTTAACTGACTGAACCACCCAGGCGCCCCCCACAAATTCACCAATTTACATGTGGATTGCATTCAAAACACACCTTCATGGAAATATCCAAATATCCATTTGACCAAAACTCTGGGTATTGTGGCCCAGTCAAGTTGACACATAAATAAACCATTATAATCACCAAAAAGAATTGTTATGGGTTTATATATTTTTGTTTCTGTTTGGAATAAAACATTTTCTGTTTGGAATAAAAAAACCCAAAATATTCTTATTATACAAAGTCAGAAAATACAACAAGAAAGAAAACACCAAAATTACTATCTATTGCCCGTTCCTCTGAGACCACCACTATGAACATGTGAATGCCTTTTTGGATCTTTTTCACCTGTTGGAATAAAATATGTTTTGTTTGTTTTTTTACGACACACAGTAGCATAGTGTAACGTCAGTCGTGAAGTACTACAATTTATTTCAGCAAAGATGCTGGATTTTGGATTTCCTCTAGTTGATTCCTTACCGTGGGGCATTTAGGTCGTCCCACCTTTTTCAAACAACACAGAGAGGAAATTCGATGGTTGAAACTGAGTTTACGTGAAAAGGCAAAACCATTAGGCTTTCCTCCTTATTCTGAACAGAGTGCTTAAAGGTACTTAAAGATGCAAAAAAAAAAAATGGTTGCAAACTTATCTCAGAGTTCAATAAAATCATCTGTACTCCAAAATTCCCACATTTTTGTCTTTTCAACCCAGCCTTTGTGTCTCCAGCTGGCTTTCGCTGGGTCGCTTTCAGGGAAACTGCTGAAGTGTGATCGGTGAGAGGGTCCCACCAATGGTGTCCAGAAGAAGAGAGCTCTCTCTGTTTACGAGACTCCGATTTATTAGCCATTATTTTAAAATTACGAGTAAATGAGGTAGTAAATATTGTGGAGGCTGAATTTTTAGTCTTACTTCTTTCCAGAAAACTCTACTTCTATGAGCACGCCTCGCCCAGTGTTAAAAGGGACATGAAAGGACGCCTGGGTGGCTCAGTGGGTTAAGCATCTGACGTCGGCTCAGGTCACGATCTCGCGGTCCGTGAGTTTGAGCCCCGCGTCGGGCTCTGTGCGGACAGCTCGGAGCCTGGAGCCTGCTTCGGATTCTGTGTCTCCCTCTCTCTCTGCCCCTCCCCGCCTCGCTCTCTTCTTTCTCTCTCTCTTAAAAATAAATAAACATTTTTTAAAAATTAAAAAGAAAAAAAAAAGGAGGCACGAAGGCGCCCCATCCCGGGCTTGGGGTTTGCTGCTTATTTCCAAACAAAATGTTCTACGTGTTCCTGTTCTTTCCTACGTGTGAATGGTCTGTGCTCTCAGAGAGACATCTCCCCACTGTCTCCTCACTGGGAAGTCAGTTGAACGTGTTGTTGACTCTGATTTGCCATTAGATTGCTCAAGGACTGAAAGGGACTTGAGTTTTGGAGCCTGGGTGTGTGGTCGGGTACTGGGCTGTGGCAGCTCCCGTCCGGCCTCCCCGCTGCCATCTTGTTCCTACCCCCCAACGTTGTGTTTTCTTTGTAGCAGTCGTGGTGACTCACATCTTAGCTCTTAAATCCTTCTGCGAACTTTCCATTGCAATGAGAATGAAATCTACACACCGTCCCATGGGCGACAGGACCATCAATTACTGGACACACCCCATCTCGCACACATCATCGTGTAGAGTTCTTCTCTTGTTCATTTTGCTTCGGCCACAACCTCTGTTCTGCCCCAGGACATTGGCCCTGCTTTTTCCCCACACGACGGGCTCTTTCCCATTCTATGAGCCTCAGTGGGAAATATTTCTTCCTTGGGAGGATTTCTCTGGCACGTTGTCTCCAGTATTTCCTCCTCTCCATCCCCACCACCATGTTGTTTTTTCCCTCATAACACCGTAACCGTCTAGAACGACCTTGCTTAGTTTCCTTTAACGTGTTTACTGTGTGGCACTCCAATTGGAATCCAAGCTGCGTGGAACCTTCCCTGTTCTGCCTTTGGCGCTGGGCACACAGTGGGCAGTCATTAAGTCACGGGACTTCTGGGTCATCAGAACATTGCAGATTCATCAGGGAGTTTGGAAGTTTCCCCCACTATCTCACCCTTGGTGGAAAGGAGTAGACAATTGTGCAACCTCATTTATGGGTCAGAAGTGATCAAACAGGAAGCAGGACTAGACAATACTGTGCAGCAGAGGTGAAGTTACCCCTTAATTTCTTATTTCGGGGATTATTAAGAAGTCATGGAGCATTCTTTTAGGAAAATGTCCCTTAAAAATACACCCAGTTGATTCTCGGTATTTGCAGGGGTTGCGTTCTATGCAATCACCACGCACACTAAATTAGTACCTACTGAACCACTGCTCCTTGTCTGACATGCGTGTTTTCTCCATACGGCACATCCAGGCTTTCTGTGTTTGGGAGCCCTGGACAGCACTGTAAGGCTACACCTGGGGGGCCATTTTAAACAGCAAAATCACCAAGGAAAAAAAAAACCACAAAAATGAGAAAAACATGGTCCAAAAAAGAGCAGGAAAGGGGCACTTGTCTACAGCACGACAGTGGAAACAAGAAGGCAGAGCGCTGCCTTGTCTCTGCTGGGAATGTGGGCGCAGGACAACTCAAATCCTTAGCGCACGCGTGAGGATGACTGCAAAGGGACCCTGAACCTCGGTTCTGGGGTTATAAATAAATTTGAGCAAGTAGGCAAATTTGCAAAAACGGAATCTGCCATGAGGATCAGTTATAAAGGTAAGTCGTCGTAAGCAACGTCGACCTTGGAGTTCCCGCCAAGAACGCCTGAGTTTTGGCTCCGTTTTTTTAAATGAGGTATTATGTGCCTTTGGAAAAAAACGTTTCTTCTTGTCTCAGACTGAGGGCCGGGAACTGGGAGATCGTGAGTCCAGAAAGCTCTCACCATGGAGGACTCTGTAACTTTTTCTTACTGTGCAGGGAGAAACATTTGGAGCACTGCAAACCCCGGTAGCTCACCCATGGCAAACTGATGCTTTGTTTTTGTGAAGGTCTATGTCCTGGACCAGGATAGCTTGAGCATGGACCTAGAGTTTGGCATTCGGGAGACAACATGCAGGAGAGAATCTGGAGAAGACCCCTCTACCTGTGACTTCCAAAGGGGCTACTACATGGTAAGCGTGGCGGGAAACGCCGTGTCCCAGAAATTAACCTGCGGAAGCGCCTCGCTTCTTCGGTGCCCTGGAGCTGTGCCCTGGAGCTGTGCCCTGGAGCTGTGCCCCGCCACACAGACGCTCTGGCATCCGGCCACACTGGGAGGCACTGACTGTGTCCGTGCTGTGCTCCCTGTGCAGGGGCGCGGTGCGGCTCAGTGGCTGAGGGCTTGAGTTCTGGACTCCACGGTGTTGAGTGATCCTGGCAAATTGTTTAACCCCCGCTGCCTCAGTTTCCTGCTCTTTGAGCCGGGTGTAATGATGGTTCCAGGCAAACTGAACACAAAGAGGCCAATCCCAAAGGCAAATTCCAGAGGTGTTTCGAGTTCCATTTTAAACTGATCTAAAAACTGTGTCCTTGGTGTGAGTCACACTATTTTGCGGTTGGCTGTTGTGCAGTATGTCACCTGGCTCTGGTTCTACTGAACCACGGTGTGTTCCATTTTGCATGCCTGGTGGCCAGAACGTGGCCCAACACTTGTTCCCACCCATGGGCAGGTGTCTGGGGCGAGCAGACCACCACCACCGGGCCAACTCTTGCTGTCCAAGGTGTTTGCCAAAAGATGTATGAGTTTTCAGGGTTTTGTGAGCTTATGAGTTTGTTACTTTATGAGTTCGTTACTTTATGAGTTTGTTACTTTATGAGTTTGTTACTTTATGAGTTTGTTACTTTATGACAGTAAAGTATGACATCATTGTCGCTTGGCAATGATGTAAATTCTGAAAAGGGAATCCTTTGTTTCGCGACCGGTTTCACGAGACTCTTCTCTGTGACTGTTGGGCGAAGGACTCAAACCCAAGTGTCACAGCGTCCGCTCCTAACAGACTCTTGAGGCCAAAGGAGAGGAGAACGCAGTCCTTGGGTTCTTCCTGCTTCCTTTTGTTCCATTGGGAAACTTCGGGGCAGCTCACTCAGGGCTCACGGGGAGGGGAACACGTGATACCCACATGCCTGACAACACATCTTTAGGTATTTCAGTTGTGTCTGCTTCGCTGCTGGGAGATTTTCGTTTTGGGAACATGAGGTGCCTCTGTGAATTTCCCCTTTCCGTCTGCATCATTCTGTCAGGCGTTAACGCTATCACCTGATCTCTGAGATGGGTCCTAACCCTTTCTAGGAGCCGCTGGCCACGGAGCTCACTGTTTTCTTTTCCAGCCGGCAGTTGTTTGCAGAAGCACGGTGCGGATGTCTGCCGAGCAGGTGCGGGACGTGTGGGTTCGCTGCCACTGGTCGTCCAGTTCTGAGTCTAATAGCAGCGAAGAGGTAGGACCAGGGCCTTGGGGTCCCCCGGGACAGCGCCCTGTAGGCTCTGTGTGGGTCTGTGACAAGCAGACACGTGTGACTGAGTCACTGGAGTATCCCCAGGCAGGGGCAAACACAGCTTTGCTCACTTGGCTGGAGTCTCCCCTCCTTCTCCAGCCTCTCTCTCCTTCTCTCTCTTTGTTTCCCAGAGAGTTGGAAACAGAGAGCTTAAAGCAACAATTGGCAAATCGTTAGAGTTTTAGAACTGAGTGTGCAGGCCACTGACGCTGTGGTTTAGTGGAGGGAAAGGGGAGGCGCATTTTTGTTGGACTAGAGTTCAAAACCATTTAGCAGCTCTGCGGTCCAGGTCAGGGTACTTAACTCCATGATCGGGCACCTCTTTACCAGCGAGATGCCGGCAGTAAAGGCCATCTGACAGTGCTGAGAGAATTGAGTAAGTTGGTGGACAAGTAAGATCTGGCCCAGCGTCTAGTCCATGAGAGATGCTTGGTGAATGGCGGGCTGGCCCCTCACCCCCGCAACTGCGCTGAAATTGATTTGGTTCCAAGATCTATTTCCCGGGTGTTAGGACAAGTACGAAGGACTTCCTTTTCCAGACTCCACTGAAGCTTACATAAAGTCTGATGTGTTTTTGAGCTGACACGCTCACACATCCGTGGCCCGGCTAATCCAGAAACGACAAGGACCAAGCACAGCGTTTCACAAGCATTTTGTGCATGTGGATTTTGTGGCTTATATGGGAACAGCTGGGGAGAGAGTGAGAAGCGAGACAAGCAAGTCCCGACCCGTGTGGAGTTTGTAGATGAGGAAGGGGGGCTCCGGGCAGCAGGGTTGATCCTGACTACCAGGCAAGCGTTTGGGGGTACATGGTGAGAGGACGGAAGATCGTCTGGGCGCAGGGAGAGCTTCCCTGGGGAACTGACGTTCACATCAAGAATGTCCATCAGTTCAAAGGGGACAGGTGTTGAGGGGAGGAGGAAAAGCGATTCCAAGCACAAGGGGACCATCAGGGAGTTCTGTGAAGTGCAAGAGAAGCTGGTGGGTTGGAAGGGACACAAACCATTATGACCGCGATGAGCAAAATACGGGCACAGAGGCACACGGTTGATCTGGAGACAAGGGCAGGATGGACCTCCAGGGCCGTGTCTAGGGTCCCTGGCCTCATCCTAATGACGACGGGCCTATCGATGGCTGAGAGCAGGTGGGGGCACCAGGGGGCTGACAGGACAGGTGCCAGGGAATGCTAACGGGAGCCGGGAGTTACTAGTGAGTGTTGAGAAATGGATTCTAGTTCATTCTGTGGCCTTTAACGTGTTGAAAAGAATTCAGTAACTGCCCCCCTCCATTTAATCCCTCTTCCACCATTGGTTGGGTAAGTCAATTCTGATCGCACGACCCACAGATCTGTTGCAACTTTTTCGTAGCATAGTGGACTGTCGGCTTGTCTTCCAATCTGAGTTTTATAAGAAGACTCTGACATTAAGTTAGGCGAGCCCCTGAAAGAAGCAAGATTTTGAAATAAACCCTCAGGTGGATGTTCTCCAAAGATTAGGAAATCATAAAGAATTAGGGGCAAATTAAAAAAAAAAAAAAAGAACTCCTTAAATTCAAGAATTCTGTAATTCGAAGGAAGAAAGAAAGCAGATGGAGATTTCAAGTAATTCCTGGAAACTCTGAAGTAGATTTCATATATGAAACAGAAAAAAAAAAAAAACAAAACAGAAAACAGCTGCTAACCATTTTCAGTGAAATAAGCAGTGATATTAGAAACAAAAGATATGGAAACCAATTGGACAATAAATTTCATATTAAGAAAAGAAAAAGAAACATAAAAGAGACGAGACTAGGATGCATTTAGGCATCAAACAAAGAAATCATTGTTGGAAGTAGAAAATAGAAGAAATAAAACAAAACAAAACAAAAAAAATCCCGGAGTAATGAAAATGAAGATCGTTTGAAAGACATATGTAGGTTATAGAAAAATTTCCGGGGAAGGGAATATAATGTGAAGAAAGGGTTAAGCCATGGAGAATAAGACTGAAAAATCCAAAATATGAAGACTAAGGACTTCGATCAAAGGGAAGATATCTCGCAAGGATATGATGAGAGAAAGTGTCAATAGTAGAAGCTTTGGAGTTTTCCCTTACGTGATTTTAAGAAGTATAAAAGCTGTAAGGAGGGGCGCCTGGGTGGCGCAGTCGGTTAAGCGTCCGACTTCAGCCAGGTCACGATCTCACGGTCCGTGAGTTCGAGCCCCGCGTCGGGCTCTGGGCTGATGGCTCGGAGCCTGGAGCCTGTTTCCGATTCTGTGTCTCCCTCTCTCTCTGCCCCTCCCCCGTTCATGCTCTGTCTCTCTCTGTCCCAAAAATAAATAAACGTTGAAAAAAAAAATTAAAAAAAAAAAAAAGCTGTAAGAACATATGAGGGAATAAATGTCTCAATTTGCTACCATTCTGCTGTCCTTAGTCAAACGTATATTTGAATTATAGGTAGTTTTTATGACTTCTGGTTGATTTGGAAAGAGAAATCTAGAGAGGACGGAGGGTTCTATGTGCACACGAGTGCACAGTCAACCACTTAATGGTTTAGTCACCGTCCAGAGTGCGGCGCTCATGCCTGTCGGTTGATGGGGGAACTTGACTTCAGGCAAATCCCGATGTGGAGTAGGTGGGATGAGGTTCGCCTCAGGCTTCAGCCAGGAGACCCAGACACAGTCCAAAGGGAGAAACTGAGGAAGAATAACCAGAATGGAATTCTGAGCTCAGGGGACGAGAGGCGACTGTGTTCCGTCGCAAACGATAGAACTTGAACCACCAGTCGCCGAAGCCAAAATGGGTAAGTCCCTGGCTCACATTCCCAGAAAGGAAGGGGAGGAGTTGACCTCATGGACCCGTTCATTTGGGAGTCTTCAATGCCACCTGGGCCAACTTCTCCCTCCCTTCCCTCCCTGCTCTCCCCCAAGCCCCGTCCCCTTCCTTTCCCTTCCCTGCTTCCCTCTCCTACCGTAGATGAGCTTTTCCCTTTCAGCAAGGCCACAAGCTGCTCCAGATTCAGACGCTCTAACTTAGGAGGAAGAGGGAGCATTTCTCTCTAGCTCCACTGGACATGCCTCTTGGCATGACTCCCTTTGGCCTGGCTTAGGTCATGTGTGCCCCAGGCCTTGTTTCAAGTTTATTTATTTATTTTGAGAGAGAGAGAGAGAGAGAATGCACAAGTCGGAAAGGAGCAGAGAGAGAGAGAGGGGGTGGAGAGAGAGAATCCCAAACAGGCTCTGTGCTCATAGCACTTGGTACTTCATTCCGTGAACCAGAGACAATGACGTGAGCTGAAATCAAAAGTCGGACACTTAACTGACTGAGCCACCCAGGTCCCTTCCCTTTTCTTTTTTTTTTTTTTTAATGTTTATTTTTTATTTTATTTTATTTTTTTTTAATTTTTTTTTCAACGTTTATCTATTTTTGGGACAGAGAGAGACAGAGCATGAACGGGGCATGGGCAGAGAGAGAGGGAGACACAGAATCGGAAACAGGCTCCAGGCTCTGAGCCATCAGCCCAGAGCCCGACGCGGGGCTCGAACTCACAGACCGCGAGATCGTGACCTGGCTGAAGTCGGACGCTCAACCGACTGCGCCACCCAGGCGCCCCTTAATGTTTATTTTTGAGACAGAGAGAGACAGAGCATGAACGGGGGAGGGTCAGAGAGAGAGGGAGACACAGAATCCAAAGCAGGCTCCAGGCTCCGAGCTGTCAGCACAGAGCCCGACGTGGGGCTCGAACCCACGGACCGTGAGATCATGACCTGAGCCGAAGTCGGATGCTTAACTGACTGAGCCACCCTGGAGCCCCCTTCCTTTTCTTTTAATAACACCTTTACTGAGTTATAATCCACATAGCGTACATCTCACCCTTTTAATGTGTCCAATTCGGTGGCTTTCAGTATATGACTATAGACTGAATATAGCCTCCACTATCTAAATCCAGAACATTTGCATCAACTCAAAAAGAAATCTCATCCCCGTTAGCAGCCGTTTCTGTGCTCCCCGTTCCCCCAGCCCCCAACAACCCCTCATCTGCCTTCTGGGTCTGCAGATTTGCCTATTGTGGCCATTTCATACAAATGGAATTATACAACACGTGTCCTTTTGTAACTGGCTTATCTCACTAAGCATCGTGTTCTGGAGGTTCCTACCTGCTGTAGGATGTATTGGTACTTGGTTCCTTTCTAGTATTAAGATTCTATTGGACGGGTATACTACCTTTGATTACCCATTCGATACTCGATCAACACTTGGGTTATTTCCGCCGTAATGAACGATGATGCTACGAGTATTCGTGCGCAAGTCTTTGTGTGGACGTATGTTATTCAGTGGCTTCATGGAATCTATTTGTGCAAGCCTTTCCCTAACTGAACACATTAGGGGAACTTCATACCCAGAAAACCCCCACATCTGATCTAAATGCAGTCTGTTTGCAAGTTCATAGGAAAGGTGCCATATTTCTGGTCCCCCACATTTGGGAGCACGTTCTGAGTCCAGTGGAAAGCTTTTCAGGCGATTTAAACATCGTGTGATTTGTTCTTCCCCATGTGCTTTCCTAGACACACATGTTTGACACCACATAAAGTTATTTAATACAATATATTGCCTTATTTCATTAAAAATGAATTACGTAATACCTAAGAATCTTCCTGATAATATTTGCATTTTTTACAATGTCTTTTTTTTCCCCTCTTTCACGTGCTGATCTATCCTGATGCCGAAATTGACTTAGATGGGTTTTGGGGACATATTGGGATCCTCTACATGGAGAAATATGTACCTACCTGGTAAGTTGAGATCTGTTCTTTTTAATGTGTTTTTTCTTGAAACAACTTTATATTGTAGTTCTCTGTCAGTGAGTCATTTTTTTTTTCAACGTTTTTATTTATTTTTGGGACAGAGAGAGACAGAGCATGAACGGGGGAGGGGCAGAGAGAGAGGGAGACACAGAATCGGAAACAGGCTCCAGGCTCTGAGCCGTCAGCCCAGAGCCCGACGCGGGGCTCGAACTCCCGGACCGCGAGATCGTGACCTGGCTGAAGTCGGATGCTTAACCGACTGAGCCACCCAGGCACCCCTGTTAGTGAGTCATTTAACACTGGAAACACTATACATGCCTTTGAACAATTATAGTGTTTCCAGAAGATGAGCATTTTTTTTTTTTTGTTCCTTTCTTACCAGTAGACGACAATGATACAACTTTTCATTTAGGTATCTCTTTATATTTATACAGAGATTTTCCATATATGATTCCATCTGAGGTGTCAAACAAACAGAGCAGATGTGAGTTTACACCGCGAGAGGCTCCCCCAACTTGAACAGGCTTATTTCCTCCTGGGTGCACAGGCCGAGTTACAGGACCCAGGTGTGCCACAATGTGTGGCTGGAGGGTCTGGACTAAAGCTCATCTAATTGATCGAGAGCGAATTCTGTCATCCTGAAGCCACGTGATGAGAACCAACCATCCCTTTAAGAGTCTCGGTTGGGGGAGGGAGGGCCCTCCTTGCTTTGCTTGGTTAGGGTTCAAAGGGTTAGGGGCCATTTTTATCTCCCTGAGCCTTTTTCCCGGTGCTGATAGCTACAAAACTATTTGCTGATCCTCCACTGCGTCTTGCTTAAAAGGAGGCATATTTGGGGCATCAATAATGAAAGCACAGAACATTCTGGAAATGGAGAAAGGGGCCTTGCCTGACGACCATTCCTGTATTACAGGTCTCAGTCCTGACAAGTCCAGAAGCGAACGCAGTGAACGGTCGCTCGGTAAGTGGTCCTACTTTTTTCCACGCAGCACCAGCAGATTCTTTTTGGATCGAGCCCGACTCTGCTGGCACCATTTCACAGTAGATTAACCCCCGAAACACAAAATATTTCAAGCGCAAATGAAAAAAGCAGCACTGCACAAGCTTGCTTTGCGAATCACTGAAAAGGTAAAACGTGAGGCATGGAAACTTACTTAAATGTTAGCAGGAATCGAAATGTCACAGCTGGCTCAGGACGTCAGCGTCGACCTTCCCTCCTGCCCCACTTTGGGGCATTTTCTGAAAAAGCGTGAACTCTCTCGAACCACCTCTTTGCCATCCGCTTTCAAAGGTGTTTGGGGGCCCGCGGATGGAGTTAACAAGACCACAGTTCCTCTCTTTCTACGGATCATTTTCCTCGTTTAGTCTTCTTAATAGCTCTGGGAAGCAGGTGTTGTTTTACCTGCTTTTATAGACGAGATAAATGATAATTCGTGGTGTTAATCGCAGATGCAAAATGCAAAATGCATATGCAAAAGTGCTAATCGGTTGACACGGCTTTGTCTTTCACAACCATCCTGGGAGGCCGCACTGTGTTCCTTCCCATTTTGTAGACGGGCAAACGGAGGCTTAGTGAGTTTCTGGAGTTTGTCCAAGGCTACATTGCCAATGTAGGACTTGATACAGATCTGTCAGACTCTAAAGCTTCTGTTTTTGCCAGTGCTATTTTCTGGACGAGCTGTGAAATTCACTTTATTTTGGATTTCTTCATTAAAAGGAATAAGACAGAAAATAATATTATATTGAGGCCGGTGTTTGATCCTCACTAGGCATACTGAAATTTATCTGAAGTGCCGGGGCTTACAATCCGCGGCTTGATTTCAAACAAAAAGTTTTAGACACCCTCTGCGTTGTCTGGGAGAACATACGATTATTTGCACAGTGCGACCATTGCTGAGGACGTTTTTTTGAACACTTCTTTTTTGGAATTGCCTTCAGAATCTATGGCCCATTCTTTCAAGCTGGTGTAGTGGTGGAAAATGGGTGTCCTTGGATTTGGTTTTGGAAATAGCCAAAATACATGTGATTAATCAGAGTAATAACCAACTTGGGTACGTTAGTTATAGATTGCTGTGTGTCAAATTACCCGCAAATTTAGCAGCTTAAAGGCACAAATGTTTGTTATATCACAATTTCTGAGGGTCAGGAACCCAGAGGCAGCTTAGCCGGCTGGTTCTGACACAGTCTGTAACAAGGCTGCAGATAAGGTATTGTCTGGGGCTGTGATCTCATTTGAAGGCTTGACTGGGTCTGAAGGATCCACTTCCAAGGTCACTCACGTGGTTGTAAAAAGCCTTGACGCTTCATGGGCTCTTGGACTGAGGGCTTTAGTTTCTCCCACTGTGGGCTTTTCCATCAGGCTGTCTGAATGTCCTCAAAACATGACAGCTGGCTTCCCCCAGAGACAATGATGAGAGAGAGACAGAGAGACAGAGAGAGAGACAGGAAGAGAATGAGTAAGCTGCAGAGCACCTGAGACAGAAGACACGGTCTTTTGTTACCTAATTTTGGAAGTTGTATATCACTTACTTCTTTGTATTTTATTAGTCACACTGACCAACTCTGGTCCAGTGTAGGAGGGGAATACCCAAGTGTGAATTCCAGGAGGCCATCTTGGAGGAGGCTGGCTACTACAGTGGGAAAATGCCATTTGGGACCAAAACTATTTTACGTCTAAATTAATGTGACTGAGCCTTCTTATATGGCTCAGAAGATAATTCCAGAGTTGCATTTTAAAAACGTGTTGGGCCCTGGGAACATCACGGATGCGGTTGAACGTCCGTCTCCGAGATTTCTTTGAAGACGACAATTTAATTTATTTCACCAAATGTGTGTGACAAGCACTGGGCAGATCTCACGGAGGCCTGAAAGACAAATGTGACAGTGCCTGCCTTTGAGGCTTACAGTAGTGGCCGGGACAGGTCACACGTGGAGAGAAACACACACGGGTTCAGCTGTGATGTCTCGCAGGGGAGGGGGAGGGACAGCCGGGGAGGGCAGCTGGAGCCGTCCTGTCTTGGCATCCCTCGGCAGTGTGGGTTTGTTTATGCCGGTCACGACCCTTCCGACTACTTATTGTCACGGGGCCCATGTCATCTCAGATGTTGGTGTGAATGACAGAGCCTATCCGTCCTTCCGTCTGCAGAGAGCCTGAGAAGGATCTTTCCTCCCGGGAATCGAGGGTACCCGTACAAGGGGCACAGAACAAGGACAAACGCTGGCTTTGAGTAACAGCCTCGAGGTAAGGGGACACGGCTAAAAACATGCGTATTTAGAAAGAGAAGCCGCTTGGAGTGAGCGCCTGGACGGACGCCGCGGCCCCCAGATGTCCTGCTCGGCCGCTCGGCTCCTGTCCTCGCCTTCCCACCCCCTCGTCTCCTCCCAGGCTCTGCCCCTCCGTTGCCTCTTCCATCCCGTGCACCTCGAGCTTTCTCCTGTGGCTCTTGTATTTGTCACCACTGGTGTCATCACGTGTTGAAGAGCGAACAGACAGACAGAACAGCCGCTCCTTTGACGCATCCCCCTTCCAGCAACTGCCCCCCCACCCCCGTCCGCCGAGCTTCTCGACTCCACCGTGGCCTTCGGCTGCTGCCCTACTCTTCTCACCTCTCATTCGCCTTCTGCCCCTTGCACCCTGGATCTTCAGCCCTCGGATCCGTGAAATCAGATCTGCCTGCCTCTCCTCGATCGGTAATTTAAAAACTGGTGACGATTTGTATTACCTTCTTAGCCCGCTGTCTCTTCCTTCTGCAGATTGCTCCGCGGTCTCTTCCACTTGCCCGCCCTCATCAATGATCTGCAGTTACTTCCAAGCACACGTCTCTTACCACGCTCTATCCCGAGATGCAGGCCCACTGGATGCAGTTGCTATGGTTACCTGTGACCTCTCGGGTCCCACCCAGCCTCCTCGTCAGCTCCCTGCCTTAATTGAGGGCATCGCCATCCACCTAATTTTCTCAAGCTCAAAATTTTAGAGCACCGTTGACTCTTTACCCTTTCTCTTCTCCCAACATCCACAGGGGTCCAGTCTTACTGAGTTGGGCCGCACGTTTTCTCTGGCATTGGCCGATCACTTGCTCGCCATCACCACCGACCGGGGCATGCTTTCCTGCCTCCGGTCCTGATCTTATGCTGTCCACCTTGCACGCTGTCCTCAGGCTTCTCTTGAAACACAGGGGGGTCTCTGATCCTTTCCACGTAACCACCCTAATGCTCGCTTCACTTACGGGATAAAGCAGAGGTGTGCAAAAGACAGGCACTAAGCCAAAAGGAAGAAAAGCCTATTGGCCCCCAGTGCTGTGGGGAGCTGCACACTGAGCCCTGCTTCACCAAACCAGCCCTGAGTGTCACCGACTCTCACGAGTATATAGATTCCCAGTTGCTAGGGCATTTGTAGCTAAGTCTTGTTAAAGGCTCCCAAGTAGTAAGGGGATATCAGGAAGTGGACACCTAGAAGGAATCCTCAGATGCGATTACAGACATCGATTCCCTGCACATCCAGTTTTGCACAGAAACACAAGTTAATAACAAACCTTGCGCTCTCACAGGCTTCAGTTTACACAGCACTGTAACCCTTCAGGATAAAGTCCAAACTCCTCAGCGTGGCCCACAAAGGCCTTGGTGACCTGGCCCCTGCCCACTTCTCCAAGTCGGCCTCACCCCGAAGCTCCAGCAGTACTGACATCCGCCCGGCTCGCCCTGCTGTGACCTCTGCAGGGAACAGCCCCCCCGCTGCTCTCCCCTCACTGGTCAGGCCTCAGCTGGGCGTCCAGTCTTCCCATGGGCGGTCTCCTCTGATCCCTTTAGGACGGTCCTCATCACGGGGCCTCCGCACTCGTCCGTCCCCTCTCTGCCGCATCACGTTGCACGGGATCCCCCGGCGCAGGGCACAGGGACTTCACTTGCTAACATCCGACTGCCCAGCACGGAGCCTGGCACGCGGCAAGCGTTCAGCAAGTAGTTTTGAGTGGGTGATGGAATCTTCCACGTTAGGTCCCTGAAATAGTTATTTTTTAAAAAATCACTTAAGCCTCGTATAATTAATTTTTAACCGCCGGAGTTTGAAGGAAGTCAACTGACATTTTACTAAAATAGAAGGAAAATTTACCAGTGAGGCCGTATTGGATGAAAGATGCAAACAGTAGGTTTTCTTTTTAATCCGTGTGCCTCCTAAAAATAAACACCAGCTTCGTATGGAGATCAGGAAACTACTCATTACGAAGAAGTGGACTCATCATATTCCTTTTTTTTTTTTTTTTTAAATTTAAATCATTTCCTTTTGCTTTATAGAGCATCCTTGGGGAAAAATACAATGCTCAATGAACTGGCTGTATTTCATCTATTAATAATAGGATTATATTGGGCATATACGCACACACGTATTGCAATACAAATTCTTGATTTGATTTCCATAACAAAATTGATTGCTTAACAAATGTCTCTTTAAAGGCAGTGGAGGGGCGGCTGGGTGGCTCAGTCGGTTAAGCGTCTGACTTCAGCTCAGGTCATGATCTCGCAATTGGTGAGTTTAAGCCCCACATCGGGCTCTGTGCTGACAGCTCGGAGCCTGGAGCCTGCTTCGGGTTCTGTGGCTCCCTCTCTCTCTGCCCCTCCCCTGCTCATGCTCTGTCTGTCTCTCAAAAATAAATAAACATTAAAAAAAAAAAAAATTAAAGGCCGTGCAGACGAAAGGTTCAATGCGGCCGTCCTCACCTGGACACTGACTTTGAGTTAAGTCCCAGTTATGTCCCTGCCCTCCCATGACCTTTAGATTTCCCCACTGCGCTCTGAATTTCCAGGAATCACAAAATGAGCCCGGGAAGGCCAGCACAGGGTCTGGAACCAGCAGACCTGGCTCCCGGCCTGCTCTGTCACCACGAGCTGTGAGACAATGTTCCACTCTCTTAACTTCTCGGCTCACTTCCTTCAAAGGAAATCATTATTATTAGTTTTGTATTTGTTTTTGTGCCTGTTGGACCGGGAACTCCTTGGGGATGCATGGCCTTGTCATTCTTATTAATTATTTTAGTTCCTACCATAAAGTTAAGGACGATGTCTAGACCATAATAAAGGTTCAATCAGGTTGGAAGGAAGGAAAACACACACGCGTGACCCAAATCAGGACAACTATTTGCAAGCTGTGAGTGACGTTCTTCCAGTGGGGAGCTCCTTGAAGGCGGAGGCTTCGGTTCCAGTAGCTTGGAGCCCTCAGACCCTGGTTCAGCTCCTGGAACAAAGCAGGGGCTGAGGAAGTGTTTTTGTAATTCAATAAACACTGTTCTAGGATTCTTTCAGGTTGCTAGAAAATCATTGCGTACACAGGAGTAGATCGTGAAAGCTGATATTTAGACAAGAGCTTTGGAATTTTTGTCTTATTTGCCCCTCTAGTATAGGGGCCATGCAAATGAGGCTCCAACCCTCACACTGGAAGGGATCTTTCTGAGTGTCTAACCCTTGCTTGATCCTTATAGCTAAATAGTCCACACTCCTTAATTATGCAGTGGCCAGATGGTCACAAACCACACCAGACCGCAGCAGTGTGAGCGAGGCCTTTTCCTTTACGTTGCCACGTCGATTCGTGCGGACCCCTGGAGTTCTATGTCCAAGAGCAGCAAAGGAGGCCATTGCCAGTGAGGCCTGTTGGGGATAGCTGCATGGTGGAAAGAATTAGTCTCAGGATTATATCAGTTTGCCCAACAAGTACTCAACTCCCAAGGGTGCCTGCGTCTGTGTTTGGACCCTTTATGTGCATTGCCTTTTATAAATCTTGCAACAACTCCTATGAAGCTTTGCCATTATTGTCTGTGTTTTGTAGATGAGGAAGCGGAGGCATCGGAGAGTCTTGCTCTCAGAGGGGGTGTTGAGATTGGGGTTTTCACTGTTGATGTCTGGGTGTCTCTCTTTTCCCGCCTGTGATACTGTACTTCATGCCAATACCTCCATGTTTAAGAAAGGGCAAAGCCGTGAGGATTATTTATTTAAGATACATGTGTCAGGTGTGGGGTGAAGCTAGGTAGGTAGCCGGCCCGAAGGTAGACTAGTTGACTGGAAGTGTTAACACATACCTATGTGTCATCAGCCAGGTGGGAGGGGTGACCCTACAACACGGGCCCTTAAGTGAGTGGCTGAGCGATTTCCATATTCGGGTATGAGACCCGGGGGTGACAACTTCTCATGATCTCCCATGGCTCCCACCTCCTGGGGGAACCAGACTCCATCGGAGATGGAAAAGACCAGCCGGTGCTTGGGAGCTGGCAACCTGGCTATGTGCGGGCTGTGTCTACTTGTACTCTGTCCGCCCTGACGCTCATCCATGGCATGCATGTGACGATTACTCCACCAAGTACAGTCGGTTCTCATTACCATCGTAGTTATGATCTGTAGAGTCGATGCCAACACTGATTTAGTGGATACTCAACCATTGCTCCTGCGGGAAGTACAGGGTGAGGCTCCTGTGAGCCTCTGGTCACCTTTCATCAACCAGTCAGTGCACGACCTTGATGTATGGGTGTTTCTGTTTAAAGACACCTTATTTACCATACTGTTGATCCACGTAGAACTCACGGCCAGCGGCACTGCCACTCGCGCCTGAACCGCGTTTCTCTGACACACGCGTATCTCCCCGAGGCGCGTCACAGCCCGTGCTTAGCAGCGCTAGACGGCACTTGGGCTCCACGTGTGGGGGCCGCAAAATCACCACCAGGAAGCACAAAAATGCCAAAAATGTGGCACCGAATAAACCGCGAGAAGGACACTTGTTGACAGTCTGAGCCGCAATAAGGGGGCAGAGCGTCGTCTTACATGGCCAACAGCACCCATGTTGGGAGACTCCCTGAGCATCTCCTGGAATGAATGCAAAACCCCCAGGAGTATTGATCTGGGGGTTACAAAGGAATGTTAGCGAGCAGGCGAATTTCTGAGAATTCAGAGGGTCTACAGAGCAATGGTTTCCACCCCTCGCTCCTCCCCATCCCCTGTTTACTCTCTTGGGTTCTCTTCCCACTTGGCTTGAAAGAAGTGGGGTCTGTACTGCTGCCTCCTCTTTCCATTGGCTCCGCCCTGCTCTCTCTCCGCCTCTTGGGGCCTCCAGCCCCCTGGCCTTCCCTGTGCCCACTGGACTTCGTGGCTGCATTTAGTGCCTCTTTCCTGGCTCTCCTTTCAGCCAAGACTTCTCTCTCTTCTGCATGGGTCTCTCTCTCTTCTTCTTCCTGCACCCCGAATGGTGGTGTTCCCCAGGACTCCGGCCTCAGCTCTTCCTCTATGCACTGTCTTCTCTTTCCCGGGTGATCCCAGGAACCCCCGGCACTTTGATGCCTATCTGTCTGGGGAGCATTCTGCCCTCCATGTCCACACTGCACCTCTACAGTGTTTATAGACTGTGTCTTAACCAACAGCATGCTAGACGCCTGCGTCTGTGTATCCTGTCACATGCTCGAAGCACAGTTCTTCCCTTCGGGACTGGTCTTTCTCCTGTAACCAACTCATCTTCCTGGTTATCTGAAACAGAATCCTCTCGGACCTCCTCCCTGCCCTCCGCCACCCAGTCACTGCTTTCTGCTGTCTCCCTCTGAAGTTTCCTGGCTCTGTCCCTTCGCTGGCCCAGTGTGGACAGTGTCTTCATGATGGCTTCATCTTGTTCCCTCAAGGTCACCTCCACATGTCACCAGAATTGTTAACACTGGCGGGGGCAGGAGTGGAGCGGGACACAAGGAGTGGGGCCCTCTGCCCCGTGGTGTGGTCCATGTCTGTGTCCCCCGATCCTCTCTGCCTCCACATTGCACAGAAGAGTCACATGGCTGATTATTTCCATGGGCCCCCAGTCTGGCTCAGACCTCCATTCCCAAGCCCCCGATGCCCTGCTACAGCGCCCCACCCCCACCTTGTCCTCGGGGTCTCCTGCACCAGATGACTTCCTGGAATTACATTTATCATACTGTATTCTAGTCCCTTCCGGTTTCTCTACAGTTTGTGATTTCTTCCTTCCTTCCTTCCTTCCCCCCTCCTTCCTCCCTTCCCTCCTCCCTTCTTTCCTTCCTCCTTCCCTTCCTTCCTTCTTTCCTTCCTTCCTTCCTTCCTTCCTTCCTTCCTTCCTTCCTTCCTCCCTCCCTTCCATTGAGGCTACACCTTATTCATCTTTGTAACCCCCAATACTTAATGGATGCCTACATGCTATTGAACAGATGAATGGATGACTGTAGCTGAGGCCTGTCTCCCGCTTTACTGATTCCGGTGGCTCCCTCGCTTGTACCCTGTCTCTTTCCTGGCTGCAGCTTTGCCTCAGGCCCCCTCTGGCCCTTTCTTTTTTGAGACTTGAGCTTCCTTTCTGGGGCCACCTCCCCTTCCCCCTGCAGGTATCTCTCACTTCTTTGTCCGAGTCGCTGACCATTTTGTATAGTTGTTCCGGTCTCTAGCGCCATCTTGAATTCCCCTTGAATACACTCAGGAGTGCTGGGCCCTGAGCCTCCATAGCAAGGAAGTGGAAAGCATGCTACAGAATCTAATCCCTCCCCCCTTCTCTCTTTTAACAGCAAAATGCATTGGAAGGAATAGAAGTTCCAGAGAAGAAAGATACTTTATGAATTGTGTAATTTTTCTTTTGATCAGTTCCAGTCGTTAATGAATGTCTTACTCTTCCTCTTTTTTCACTGTTTGATTTTTTTTTTTTTTTTTTGAATAGGCATAACTGTCGGGGCACCTGGGTGGCTTAGTCGGTTGAGCGTCCGACTTCAGCTCAGGTCATGATCTCGCGGTCCATGGGTTTGAGCCCCGTGTCGGGCTCTGTGCTGACAGCTCGGAGCCTGGAGCCTGCTTCGGATTCTGTGTCTCCCTCTCTCTCTGCCCCTCCCCTGCTCATGCTCTGTCTCTCTCTGTCTCTCAAAAATAAAGAAATGTTAAAAAAAATAAAAATAGGCATAACTGTCAAGTTTTTAGATAAGAAGCAATGACATGAAGAGATTAGTATTACCTAAGGATTTTAGGAGCTGAGGACTCACAAAGTGGCCACGCTTAGCCTAATTATGTCAAACACATGTTTTAGATCAATACGCAATGATTGTAAATTCCTTACTCTTACAGAGACAGTCAGTCCCAGGCAGCTTGGCGTTAAGAGTGTCTTTCCTTTTGTGACTTATGTTAATTTTAAAAAATAAAGGACCTGAAAAAAAAATCATCTGGTGATTTAGGGATGAAAAGGCAAAGGCCGTCCCCTCCCCACCACCCAAATGCCCCTGTCGATTCTTTTTCTCCAGACTTCTCAGTCCTGGGTGTCAATACAGCAAAGCCAGCTTTCTGTCAAACCAGGTATTGCCAGGAATGAACCCAAGGACAGAGGTCCGTGTTCCCAAGCCACTTAGCGATTGCTGCAGTTGGGGGGGGGGGGGCCTCTCCTGGAGCCAGGCCCTTGTGAGGTGTCCTGGGGGG